AGATTATGTGTTTATATTTTTTAAATGTCTGCCAGGCAGCATATTACTGATAGCCATCTGTCATCACAGAACAGGGCAGCTAATTTAGAACACTTAGCTTTTTAAAAGAAAAATTGTATAACTCATCTTTAAGCTTAAAACTCTTAAATACTTTGCAACTAGAAAACCAACAAACATTTTCATGGTTCAGAGTACTGCAGTTTTCTTCTCACGCCACAGTGGCTCATTTTGCAAGAGTCCTATTATCTGGTGGCTTTTCCCATCAGGAGTAGAATTGAATCCAAACTCCATCCCTTAGCTCACTGTAGACACTGTATTTTCATGAGACTGACCTGCTACCTACTGTGCAACAGGACGCCTCCGACATTGTATTTTCAGCTCTAGAATTCAGTTCGATTCTTCTTTATATCATCTCTTTCTCTCCTTAATTGTGTTCATATTTTTCTTTAAATCCTTGAGCACAGGCCTCCCACTCTGACCACTTGTCCTTGGCCGCTTTCCCTTCCCTTCATCATACCTCACTGGCTTCTCTCTATGCCTTGTATGTGCCCATCCTGGCACCCAGCTGTGGACCTTTGCACTGCCATTCCCTCTGCCAAGAGTCTTCATGTTCTCTCCTCTTCGACATCCAGATCTCAATCCCAGGGTCACCTCCTCAGAGGCCCTCCCTGTCCTTCTGTCTCCAGGACCCATTCCCCATTCTCCACACCCTGTCTCCTCTCTTCTTCATGCTTGGCAGTACTGAGAGCATTCTGATTTGTTTGGTTTTACTGTTCGTCTGTCTCCCTCACTTCAGTGGAATGTCAAGTCTCTGAGAACAAGGATTTTCTCTTGTTCGCCACCGTGTCCCCCCAGCACCTAGAACGGTCCTGACGTCATAGAATGTGTACGTGGGCAGCGGCAGTTGGACTGAAGTATTTTTGTGGCTGTGCCTGACCCTTCCCTGCTTCTTGCTCCCCTGCATGCTGTTTCTTCCACAGGGATCGACTGCCCCACAGTCTCTACGGGTCTAAACACTGACTCTTCTTTTTAGAAAAAAAAAAAATCTCCTTTTCCCGGTTTCTCTATGTGGGAATGGTCTTCCATGTGGCCCTTCTTGCTTTATCTTAGTTATTTGTGAACACGGTTTATCTCTGTGAAGTTGGGCCCAGCCGACTCTGCTGAATGTCCATCCCAGTGAATCAGTGCCTTGCGCAGGGCAGACAGATGCTTAGGACCTACTTGTTACATTGGTACTCGAAGAGACAGTATAATTTCGTCGGCTGCCGGCTCCGAAGGCAGAAATCTTAATTAGACTTTTGCATACCTGTTTGCCTGGCCGACTTCTCTCCTCCCCCTGTCCCTGGGTGAGATGCCAGCGCCTGACTCGCTGCAGAGCCCCCTCCCCCCACCCCCACCCCCGACCTCTGGCTGTGATGGCTGGAATCAACGAGATGACGTTCTATGTACTTAGGGGAAAGTGCTGAATAAATGCAGGTGACTTGTTGTTGTTTGTTATAATTATGTTCTTTGAGTCCTGTGTTGCATAGTGAGCTGCAGAATACCTCAAAGAGTGTTTTAGGAATGAACTATGAAGTGATTGTAGAGCACTTGGCAGGTTTGTCACATCGGGTGCATGGCACTGGCAGTAAGGCATGTTGAATTGGAGGCGGCAGGGAAGATGGGCTGCAGGTTTCCGTGTGATGCTGTTCCCCGTATGGGTGTGTGCTCTTGCCTCCCCCAGACAATTCCCTAATTGAGCTGCTGAGATCAGAGGCTTGTGACGTTCAGAATAAGACCTAACAATACTTGTGTGGGGTTTAAATGGCATTGGAAATCATTAATGAGACAAAAAGCTATGATTTCCCCTAGATTAACATGCAGGCTGGGGTTTGGCATGCCGAAATTCACTGTTTTGGTCTCTAGCCCAAACATGCTAGAGTCATTATATTGTCATGTGGTAATTAACTGTTCCTTTAATACAAGTAATAAATATTAAGCCTGAGAGGTACTTTAGCAATGCCTTTTACATAATCCAAAACGATATTCAAATGCTGTAGGCGTTGAGTCATTCAACTGTACTGTAGTAAAGTTTGAAGTTTAATACATAGAGATTTTTGAACATTCAGTTCATTCTTTATTCTATGACCAGTTCTGCTACTTAGGCATTAACCTTTAATCATGTTCAATTAAATATATATGCCGTAATGAATAATTACAAGATTGCCAGAATTTTCATTTACAATATAATACTTTGAAAATTTGTCTAAAGGTCCTAGTTACCATTCACTTGATAATGTGCGTATTATTTTTACATGTTACTGAATTCCTTGCTGAATCTAACGAGGGAAACTATTTTTTATTCGAAGCAGACACAGTGGGTCCTGGCCTCTTAAAAGGAATGGACTGGAAAAGTTGTCAAGAGAAATTTGGGGGATGGAGGGCAGCATACTAGCTTAGCTCTTTAAAATATAATTTGTACTGGCAGTTGTGCTGGGAAACCTACAGCGATGAACATTCATAGAATTCTATAGAAACACAGTGGCTCTCCTTCTCCTCAGTTCTTCCCTGACCCCTGTTTCAAGTTAAAGCTGTCGTTCTACATGGACGGGGCCACGGGCAATACTCTCTTTTATCTCCTTCACGTCATTTGCCCAGCATAAGGCCATGTGGGGAGTGGGAAGAGGAGTGGGGGTGGGAAGGTGTCCAGGGAAGATACTGAAATTAAAAAAAAAAAAAAAAAAAAAAAAAGCTGCACCTGGAATGCTCTGAGGATGTTCATTCTGTAGCGCTATTACCGCTCCTACTTACAGGGAACCGTCTCCCCGAAATAGCTTTTGAAATCTAATTTAATATAAATATTTCAATGCTGATAAAAATAATAATGAGAGGCCACAAATGAGAAGGCAATGAGGTAGTCATAAACTGTATATACGCACAGAATCAGTGCCCGGCTGCCGGGGTTTCGCGTGATGGGCGGTGCTAAATGCTGTGCTGGACGTGCCGCGGGGCCTGCCTTTTGTAAACCCCTCCAAGACGCTGGCTCCTCAAAGCGCTCCTGGCTCCTGGTGGCCCCGCCGACTGAGGCGTGGTAGACGGAGCCCTCGTCTCCAGGAACCAAGGGTGGTCTGAAAAATGAACTGCTCTGGTATTTGAAAATTCAGTGCGCGCCTGGATATATACCCTTGTTGATCCACTGGGCTCTGTGTTTAGCATTCCTCAACCGGAGACTAAATCTTCGCAGCCGTCTCACAAGTGATGCTGGCGTCCATACCAGAAATACCTTCCGTAATCTCTTCTAAGCCCAGCAGACTCGGGGATGCTTCTACTCCGACGGGGCCCCAGAGTCCCAGAGGAAGTGCCCCACTGGGGCCCGGCAGGTGGATTATAAGTGCAGCAGAAATAAAAATAAAGACCCAGCTGATGCCAGAAGAACATTGAATGTCTCTCCATTTTGTGCTGAATGAATGGTAAAGGCAAAGTCCGCGCCTGTACCCCGAATTCCACATCTGCAGTGTCCGATTTTAGGTCCAAATCTGTTGCAGGAAAGGGGACCCCTTCCATGGCCCGAGAGTGGGCTCTTGTCTAACACTCGGAAATGAATTGTCCGAGGAGACACAGGTGCTGGCAAAGCCAGAGACTTTATTGGGAAGGGGCGTCCGGGCGGAGAGCAGAGGGACAGGGAACCCCGGAGCACTGCTCTGCCACGTGGCTCGCAGTCTCAGGTTTTATGGTGATGGGGTGAGTTTCCGGGTTGTCTCTGGCCAGTCGCTCTGACTCAGGGTCCTTCCTGGTAGCACATCCGTCGCTCAGCCAAGATGGATTCCAGCAAGGATTCTGGGAGGCTGGTGGGACTTAAGGACTGGCGTCTCCTCTCTCCTTTTGACCTTGCCCGAATTCTTCCGGTTGGTGGTAGCTTGTTAGTTCCGCATTCCTTACCAGGACCTCCCGTTGTAAGAGAACTCATGCGAGTGGCTACTGTTGTGCCTGGCCAGGGTGGGCGGTTTCGGTCAGTGGTTCCCCTCACAAATCCAGTTTTTCTGTAAGTGAATCTGATGGTGGAGAGCACATTGAATTGGCTGCAGGACCTCTCATGACTGGCCCAGATGCCCTTCTCCTGCTGTTTGTACTATAACCAGGAGTGTGGTGGCCTCCTGGCTGGCTGGCCTGCTGGCGCAGGACGGGTCACAGTAGCTGGGTCACCAGCTGTGCCTCTGAGGAAAGACAGAACCACCGAGAGCAGAAACCCGGGGTTCTCCCATCTTTAGATCACTAGCTGGTAAGCCCTGACTCTTTCCTGAGCATCCTTCATCAGTAAAGGGGGGCCGTGACAGAAAGGGGAGCCCGCCCCCTCAGGGGACCTTCCTCTTTGGAAGGACAGTCACTGGATCTCACAGACTTGGGTTTGAGATCTCTCTGCCCAGCTAACCAGCCGGTAACCTGGGCCCATCACCCCGCCTCAATGAGCTTTAGTTCCCTCTTCTGTGAAAGGAACATGATCTGTGTGTCACATCTCTCTCCCAGGAGTGTCCTGGGGCTCAAGTGAGAAAATGTCCATAAAAGTGTTCTGTGATGGCCAGACGCTCTCCGGGTATCAGGTGTTATTTCCAAATTCTTAAGAATTATTGGAAACTTGAGGCCTTCGACACCTTCCCACTCGCTGCTTCCTCCGCGTGGGCGCTAGGTGATAGGTGATTTTCCCGGGCTCCTCCCCTTGCCGCCGAGTGTATCTTTCTTCTTATCAGATCAGGGAATGGAAAATCCTTTAAGTGTCACATTAGGCCAGGGAAGTGGGCAAATCCCAGGGAGCCCGTGGCCATTCCCACCCCGTTTTCATGTACTGGGTCGGTCTGCGTGCACATCCCTTAGCAGCCGCAGAGAAGCACCCAGTCCACCCAGCCGCGGGGCCTTGGGGAGCTGACTCCCTGGGAGCTGGGTGACCTACTCCCAGCCTCCTCGAGGCCAGGAAGGTGGCTCGAATGTGTCCAGAGGGGGGTGACGTGTGTTTCCCTCTCGTGCAGATCCTGTTCCGGCTCTGGACCTCGGGCAGCAGCTCCAGCTCAAAGTGCAGCGCCTACACGACATTGAAACAGAGAACCAGAAACTTAGGGAAACTCTCGAAGAATACAACAAGGAATTTGCTGAAGTGAAAAATCAAGGTTGGTGGAAAATGTACTTGTTCCTGGCGTTTTCTTTCTTTTCCTTTTCTTCTCTTTTTCCTTTTCTTTCTTTCTTCTTTTTCCTTTTCTTTCTTTCTTTCTTTTTTAATTGCCTTCCCCATACTGTGGGAACTAGCTCTGATTGTCACCTTCATCATAAAGTCCGGGTGGGGCAAGAATCAGAGTCATGAAAGAGAGATAATAATAATGCTTAGCAATTGAGAAGGAAAACTTTACCTCTGCAAAACGACTGCGTATGATTGTACTGCCCTCCCTCCGGACGGATCAGGATTCTGTTAAAGTTCTAAAGTTCTTCCTGAATCATCATGTGATAGGATCTGCCTTTTCAAAGATGGATGCGCTGCCTGCGGGTGACACCTGTCAGAGAGCCAGCTTATGATCAAAGGGTCACAGCCAGTAAGTCCTTTAATAACTGAGGCCATACAGTAAGGCTTTAGGCGCAGCCTCCACATCCCCACGCGTAAGCCCCGTGGCGTCCTGGTCACTGTCACCTATTCGTGACGAAGTTAACGAAGGAAAACAAAACAGCTTTCTGGCAACAAGGAAAGAGGGCAAAGGTCGCCTGGCTTTTCCTGTCAGGGAAGAACAAAGAAATCTCTCCCACACCTAAAATCCAGACGTGTCCCAGTCGGGAACCTCGTGGCTTCCTCGTCTTGAGGAAAATCACGGCCCCATCTGACAGCCGCTGTAGGCTTCTCAGCCAAGTCCAAGTAGAAGTGGGCCTGTTTGGTTTTGTTGGGGGTGTGGGTGAGGAAGGTGACAGAAAAGAGAGCAAACGGCTTGGGGGACTTCTGAGGGCTGGAGAAAGAATTACCTGATGATGATTTTTTTTTTTTTGCTGTGCTGGGTCTTCGTTGTTGTGCACGGGCTCTATGGCACATGGGCTTCAGTAGTTGTGGCGCCCAGGCTTAGTTGCCCCGAGGTATGTGGGATCTTCCAAGACCAGGGATCGAACCTGTGTCGCCTGCGTTGGCAGGTGGATTCTTAACTACTGTGCCACCAGGGAAGTCCCTGATGACGACTGTTAAAAGCATCCTTGGGGCTTCCCTGGTGGCGCAGTCGTTGAGAGTCCGCCTGCCGATGCAGGGGACACGGGTTCATGCCCCGGTCCGGGAAGATCCCACATGCCGTGGAGCAGCTGGGCCCATGAGCCAGGGCCGCTGAGCCTGCGCGTACGGAGCCTGTGCTCCGCAACGGGAGAGGCCACAGCAGTGAGAGGCCCGCGTACCGCAAAAAAAAAAAAAGAAAAAAAAAAAGCATCCTTGGGTTTTGAGACCTTTGGACACCGGCTGGCAAGGAGGGGTCGTGCGCGGAAAGGACCCGGGAAGAGGCAGGAAGGTCCAGGCCTGGGCAGTGAGGACGGCAGGCCCGAGGGCCCCTTCCTCGGGGATGCCACCTCGTTCTGGCCCACAGGGAGCTGTGAGCCTGTGGGACACAAGGGACAGTTTGGTCCTGCTGGGGAGCGAGGTGAGGACTTAGGAGCTTGGGGTCCAGTGAGAGAAATGCTCCCTTCCCCCTGCAGGACTTGGCTCTGGTCAGAATCACCCAGCGCCCAGGGGAAAGAGAACCTGTGGATTCTGGTTCTGCACATTTCCTTCCAGTGGCCTCCGGCATCTTGTTTTGGCAGCTCCACCGCTTGGGTCTCCTTCAGCTGGATTTGCTTTTGTTGTAGGGTGCGGTCGCCCTCCCCCCTCTGTTCTGTCAGCGCCCCAGGGCCAGTTGCCCAGTGCAGGGTCATTGCCTCCCCGAAGGCCTCACCTGATGGACATTTCTAAATGAAATGCAGAGCCTAAGGGACTTCCCTGGCTGTCCACTGGTTAGGACTGGACTTGGCGCTTTCACTGTAGGGGGCACGGGTTCGATCCCTGGTTGGGGAACTAAGATCCCACAAGCCACGTGGCGTGGCAAAAAAAAAAAGAAAAAAAAGGGAGAGCGAGAGAAAGAAATGCAGAGTCCAAGACTCAAGAACAAAGGCTCCAAAGGCCAGCAGACCGGGCCGGGGTCCCTTGGTTGCCACCACTTCGCTGTGTGACCTGGAGCAAGTGGTCTCACATTGTTGAAGCCTCGTTTTCTTGGGTGGGGGCAGAATTCTCGTACTAACCCTGAAGGGCTGTTGTAGGATCAGATGAGATGCGCTGTTCCCAACACTCAGCAAATACCAGCTGCTCTTACCTCAGCGCTGTGGCTTTTTCCGGAAGTCGCCCCCCGTCCTTCTCTTTGTTTATTGGCGTCTTTACCGATTTCCCGCTGCCAGGAACATGCGCTTTCCTCTCTTCTCTCCCCAGTATAAAAATGATTTGAATTTGGAAGGGGTTGAGGCGCACATCACTTGTTTTAGTCATCACGGCTGTAGTGTGGATGGATCAAATGTTAGAGCAGGACAGGAGTTTCTTTATCACATGCTGTAACTCTCCCCCACTCCATGTAAAGGTGAGTGAACGGGGCCCAGGCACAGCCCGTGGGAGCAGAGGTCTTTGGTGTCCTCTCCTCCACGCCGCTCTCCCTTCTCCCCTGCTCACACGGAGGGGCAATGTCCTGGACCTGGGCCCAGGTGCCAGAGGAGAGACCGAGGCTCCAGGACAAATCCGCCCCTGGCTCACTGAGCAGCCCACCTGGGCTGGATGTGACCCTACTTTGATCATGAGCTGGCTCTCTGACAGGTGTCACCCGCAGGCAACGCATCTGTCGTTGAAGGCAGATCCCCACCAGACAGAGTGGGAGCCCCAGGCTAGTGCCCCAAACTCCTCTGGAAGGAGCATAGATGGGTCACACTGAGAAACCCATTGGGTTGAGCACCAGGGCCCAGGGGCTGCCCAGATGTTTCCAACCCATTGCTCAAGGCAGAAATGCTGCGTGTTTACAGCCGCACTGACCATCGACTAAAAAGAATGTGCAGATGTTTCCAGAGGTGACCTGTCGTGTCCGCTTTGGACGTGTTCCGCTCCCTCCCAGCCTGGGCCCCGTCACTCCACGTTAACCATTGTGCTCACAGAGCGTTTCTTCCAGGCCCCAAACACCCAGCCCGAGAGGCAGGAAGCCCCCTGTTCGTCTCTCAAATGCCCTGCCAAGGTCATTGGTCTTAATTCCCTCTCTCCTCCTCTGAGGAGAACCCTCTGGTTCCACTGGATGAAAAAGGCCAGTTTCTTATCTTAACGAAAGAGCCTCTAGCTTTTATGCACCAAGCCACATGGGTACAAATGCCCGGCTGCCTGGCTCCCGTTTGGCCCGGCGTGTCCGTGCAGCTCAGGGAGCAGAAGCTGACGTGAGTTACAGCCCGAAGGAACAAGGGCCGCCAGTCCAAGCACTTACATGGGCAGAGACCTGGCAGGCGACATTGTCGCGTGGGCCTGGAGCCCCGTTGTCACAGCCCCGTCGAGGCCTCACCCTGCTCAGCCCAGCCTCATGCCTCAGCCACTTTCCGAGCACCCACTGTGTCAGGTGCTGGGACGACCAAGAAACTCAGCCTTGCCTCCCACGAGATGGACCCACGCCCGGGCAGGTGCGGTCCCCCAAGAGCTCCACCAGCCTTGGAGCCGGGGCCTCGGTGCTCTGCCTGGGGCTGGCTGGCCCGCCCAGGGGGGTGGGGGTGAATGGGGCAGGAGCAGGTGGAGTGGTCCCACCCTAGAGCCACTTACGAGTCTGAGTTAGGACCCTGCCCTGTTCGTTGCATCTGCTCTTGTGTTCCTATTTTGGGTCACTGAAGCAACTGCTGTAAACACGCACTTGGTGGTGGGGGAACCTGGGCTTTCCAGGGGCGGCCCTGACCCCCAAGGGACCCTGCGTCCTGAACACCGGGCACTGCAGGGCTTCGTCACACAGCACTGCTTCCCACGCCTCTGGCACTCCCCCTCCCTCAGCTGCGGCTCCCCTGGGCCCGTCATCGGTTCTGCACACGCAGCCTGGGTCTGCCAGACTCTGGCCCCGGTGGAGGGTGCTCTCAGCACCCAGGCTCTGGGGCTGGTCCCTTCCAGCCGAGGAGACAGGTGCCCCATCCACTTAGCGCACCGTGTGTCTCATCACTTGGGAAACAGCAAAGCTGCAGCCCATGGCCAGGGAGGTCAGTAGGCTTCTTCCAAAATGTACGCACAATTATGAACCGTTTTCTTTGTAAGAAAGTACTTAAACCCACACTAAAATGTTATTAATCTCCCCTCAGTAGAGGACTAATTGAAGCCTCGTCGATAGGATGATACTGTATTTTACCGTTGATTTCCCCCCTCTTTTTCTTAAGTTGTATTAGAGAGACATAGTTCTTCTTCCCAGCAAAATCCATTGATCCTCCTCAACCTAAATGTTTAAAGTTCAATTTAACATTTAGGGAGTAAAAGGTCTCCGAAGGGACTTGTAACCATTGATTTTGTGTCAGAGTTGAAGAGCTAAAGTTTAAAACACACCAATCCTCCTAGGTTATGAAAGCCTAGTATATATAGCCACATGGAACCATGCTTCTCTTACTGGAGTATTTTTTTCCCCCTTCTGCAGAGGTAACGATAAAAGCACTTAAAGAGAAAATCCGAGAATATGAACAGACTCTGAAGAACCAAGCCGAGACCATAGCTCTCGAAAAGGAACAAAAGTTACAAAATGATTTTGCAGAAAAGGAGAGGTGAGCACGTGTTGGGATCTGCACGCACTGGCGTGCTGACGTAACGTTTTACTTGTACACTTCACATCACAAGACAGCTTTTTTTAAATGGACCTGTGAAATAAGCCCAGGTTGGAAACCAAAATCCTAGGGGCTCTAAGGCACAATTTTGTTTGAAAAACAAAGGTGTCCCCTGTTCTGTAATTTGTGAGATTGTGAGATGACCTTGAGTGAAATGTACCAGTCTTTCCCTTTGGTGGGTAGTGTCAGGTGTGTCAAAGGGCGTGTCTGTCGGGGCCACATGGTGCCGGGGCTTGAGCACAAAATGTGTGTGGTTGGCACATAGGGGTGGTACCCGAGGTAAGATGAGACGGGTGGGACCGTCCCCTGCCGTGTGTCTTCTCTGGGAACCCAGGGCGATGCTGAGCTCCTGATACCTTCTTAAGTGAATTTTGATATTTAACATCTCTGTCTGTCTGTCTGTCTGTCTGTCTCTCTCTCTCTCTCTCTCTCTCACACACACACACACACACACACACACACAATATCTTTTTTTTTTTTAATTTTTTTTGTCTCTTGCCTCTTTTCATTACCTCACAGTGCTCCATACACCAAGGAGTTAGTATCAGCAAGATATCTTAATGCACCATCCAAGGGCTGTGAGTGTTAGGTTTCCACGGGCCTGCTTCCCCCAAAACTTTGCCACAAATAATGAGTTGCTTTTTCACTAGTGTGATGACTTAATGAAAGTTAGATTTCTTATAAAAACCATAGGAGTGTCGCACTTACCAATTCAAACTGCATTAAGTCAGATCTCTCAGAACTCTGGTGAAGCTAAGGTTTAAAAATCTAAGCCTGTCATGAAGAAACGTGAGTCCATTAACGAGAGGCACTAAAAGTCTGGTTACAAGTTAAGAGGCAGGCCCCGTGGTGGGGTTTTGTGGGTGTTTCCCGTGGACTTGGAATGCAGCTGCTCGGACTTCTATGAGGCAGGCTCCGTGGAGATCTCGGGCATCTCTCTGGGCCACCGTTAAACTGGCTTCATTTAGAAAAGAAGAAGAATGCCCGCTACACTCATTGCCCGGCCCTCTCGAGATGTTGTCTCAGCAAGTGCCCAGGATAGACCTGTGGAGCAGACCATCTCATTTTACAGATTAGGTACCTGCCCACACTCTCCCAGCGAGGTACCCAGAGGTGGGGGCAGAGCCTGACCCACCGCTATGGCCCTGGCCTCCCTTTGCGCTCAGACTTGGCCTCCCAAAGCCCTCACTGCAGGACCAAAGCCAGTCCCTCGGGGCCAAGCCCAGATCTACAGGGGATGTCGCATCTACGCTGCTGGGAGAGCAGGGCTGGGTACAGCCCCTGGGAAGAAAGTGAGCCCCACAGAGTCGGGGTTCTGTGACCCAGCAGATGTGGGTTCTTGACCCAGCAGACGTGGAACTGGCACTAAATATGTCTCCTAGGAAAGCACTCTGTGCCCAAAGAGATTTCTCACCATATTACTGATGAGGGAGGGGCGGGGGGAATGCAAGCCACTGAAATGCCTTGCCAACAGGAAATGGGTGCGTAAAAGTGTCCACCCCTAACGGGAACGTTATACAGCCATTATAAAATAATAGTTTTGTTGAATTTGCAATTATACCAGAAATGTATCGAGCATAATGCGAAGTGAAAAATGCGTGATACTGAATTATAGACAGCGTGATTACATCTGCAGAGAGCAAACTTATGCGTTACAAAAGTAGGGAAATAAATTTCTATAGGACTTTAATATTATTAAGTTGATTTTTCAAACTAGGTGAAAGGATTGATTATATTAAAAGATGCAAATAACTGACCACTGGGGGTGGGGGATGAAGCTAGATCTTTATCTCATTCTTTACACCAAAAAATTGAAACAGATTAGGATTTAAGTATTAATGATTAAATCACGTACATATTGGAAGAAAACGTGCGCATTTACTTTGTTTTTAATAATTTTGGAATCGAGAGATCTTTCTAAACATAAAAGAAAAGCTATATAAATACAGCTGCCTAAAATTTCACACAGACTTTTGAAAACAAGTAACAGTGGACAACATTTTTAAACCATCAAAAATCTGGGAAGAAATATTTGCACCACATAAGAAAAAGGGCTAATTTTCTTTATAAACAAAGAACTCTTACAAATTAATAAGAAAAAAACCCAGCGCTGCAAAAAATGGGTAAAGGAGTTGAGCAGACAGTTCATACAAAGAGAAATTCTCAGCTTTACTCCAGACTAAAACTAAGTTTAATTTTATCCAGTGTTGGCACAGCAGAACACTCTCAAATGCTGTTGGCAAGAGTTTAAACTGGTGAGGCTTTTTGTTGGAAAGTTTCTCAATATCTATCAAAACAACAAAAACAGTTGCACATACCCTTTCACCAGTGTAGTTCCTCTGTTAGAATTTTATCCAACAGATTCATTGTCAGAATTATGCACCAGTACCTATGATGATCATTGTGGAATTGTTCAGTGGAAAGGGGTGGTAAACCATCTAAGTGTCCATAGAGGCTTGGTTAAGTCAGTTGTTTAATAAGAATGAGGACGAACTATATATGCTGGGGTAGAACAGTTCCACAGTACGGAGATAAGTGAAGAAGCTAGCTGCAGGATACCATGTGTGCTCTGATCTCTTTAGTATTAAAAGAAAGGGGCGGGGAGTGTTTATTACACTATAATATATCACATCTGAGTTTATATTATGCTACAGTATGTTACATATTACATTGTATTTCTATACGTATGGAAAAATTCTAGGACTTCCCTGGTGGCGCAGTGGTTAAGAATCCACCTGCCAATGCAGGGAACACGGGTTCGAGCCCTGATCCAGGAAGATCCCACATGCCGCGGAGCAACTAAGCCCGTGCGCCACAACTGCTGAGCCTGCGCTCTAGAGCCCGCGAGCCACAGCCACTGAGCCCGCGAGCCACAGCTACTGAAGCCCACGCACCTGGAGCCTGTGCTCCGCAACAAAAGAAGCCACTGCAGTGAGAAGCCCGCACACCGCAACAAAGAGCTCTCCACAGCTAGAAAAAGCCCGCACGCCCCAACAAAGACCCAACGCAGCCAAAAATAAAATAAATAAATAAATTTATTTTAAAAAAAGAAAAAAAAATGAGGAAGCCCTTTATTGTATTAAAAAAAAAAGTAAAGAAAAATTCTAGAGAGCTACAAAAGAACTTTGAGGAGTGCCGGTGGAGCCCAAGGGAAAGGACATTTTACCTTCCATGCTCTTATGGTATTTGTGGTGGTGGGTTTTTTTGTTTTTTTTTAACGCAGAGCATTTATTAGTTTTATAATTGAAATATATGCAAGCGCAAGCAGTGCTTTTCCATAGATTTCCATAAATTTGGGTGCCTTTTTTAACTGTACCATTTCTACTTTTCCGTATTCCCAGGTTTCTTCTTTATGAGAGCATGTGTTATATTCATATGATGTAAAAATAATAAACTTATTTTTAGAGATTTTTCTGCCGATGAGGAGGAAGGAATGCTATTTATTGACCAGGGAATTCATTTGGAGATCATGGGAAATATAAATACGTGGAATGTGGCTGCAAACATTCCGCATGTCCCCATTAGGTATTAGAGTTCCATTTGCATTCCATTCCAACAGAAACGGAACAGCTGTCGAATCTCTTCAGTACATCCTTTATTCCAGCAAATTCCTTCATTGTGTCAGCAAAATGTAAATGTATCGTTCTTCTTGGGCTAACTTCAGGAAACAATGAGTGCGTGATGATGGTTTTTCTTCCTTTTTTTTTTTTTAATATCTGGCATTTCAAGAACAAGCTACATTTAGGATAACCTTCCAGATCAGTTGCCTCACGTCAAGTCCCACGGGAAATACACCTCCCCTCGTGTGATGTGCGGGTACAAAGTCTGGGTGTTAAAGAGCAAGGCATCAGGGCTCCTGGCATTACGAGTTGTAACCGGCCGCGAGCCTCTCACCAGCCGTGCGAAGATGGCTCATCGCCGTAGCTCCAGAACACACAAGGTGTGTGAGTTGCTAAACAAGGTGACCAATCTGGCTTCTTCCTCTTCCTTTTCAGAAAACTGCAGGAGACCCAGATGTCCACCACCTCAAAGCTGGAGGAAGCCGAACATAAAGTCCAGACTCTGCAAACAGGTGTGCTATTCTGCCTGCCGGTCAAGCTGCTACAGGCCGGGCTGACCTAGGGCAGGTTTGCGCCACCTCCCAGTCCCTCCAGGTCCCCTCTGACACCTGTCACCGCCGCCGCCGTGGTGAGCCTGGAGGAGGGAGGGAGCCTTCGCCCCAGCGTGCCTCAGACCCCCTCCTCCACAGCTCCCCACCTCGACTGCATGAGTCACCCACACTGAGCAGTTGAGGTGGGAGGCTCTGAATCCCATTTGCATCACTGCCACAAGCCATCCTTTCTTCCTGCTCTTTTTCCAACAAACAAGTCTAAATCACCGAACTGTCAAGGGCTGACATCTCGTTTGGAGCAATAATGAGGGCAAAAAAACCCCTTATTTCTACCCTGTGAAGTTAAGGAGAACAGTAATAGCAGACCTTTAAAACTTTAGATGCCAAAAAAGGTTATGCTTGAGTTTTTATCGCTTCTTTGAACTTCTTCCTGCCTTTTTTCTTTTTGTTCTGAAAGAGAAATGGCGCTATATATTTAATTTAAATGTGGGGAAAAAAATCAGAAGACATCAGAGTCCAAGTTTTAAAAAAACACAAGTGACAGCGTGGGAGAAACTAATCATAACAAATTCACAGTCAAATAATATCCAAAGAATGTAAAGCTCACCTACAAATCAAAAAAAAATAGATAAACCGTCCAGGAGAACAATGGGCTAAGGATGAAAACAGGCAGTTTGCGGAAGACGTACACGCGGCCAATACACATATGAAAAAATGTTAATTTTGAACAGGCAGGGAAATGCTAATTAAATCAGTAAAAGATTGTTTTGCCTGTCAGACTGTCGAATTTTTTTTTTAATTGATAATTTACAATGTTGGTGGAAGTATAGGAAAATAGTCACACTCTTAGTATTGACGTGGATGTAAATCGTCTCTTGGGAGGCCAGCCGAGTGAGGTTTATCTGAAGTTGAAACATCCATGCTCTTTACCCAGCACCTTCCTTTCTAGGTGTCCTGACTCCCCGGGCATGTGGCAAGCCCTGTACAAGAGCTAAGTTGTTACTGTCATTGCCAATGTCCCAGCATGGAGAGATTTCCATATGCCTGCTAAGGGCAAAGGGCAAATCTCAGAAGATTTTTGTATCATCCTATTTATGAAGGGGGAGGGGTGTCAAATATATATATACACACACACATACACTTAAATATGTATGCAGTTAGGTATGGAAATATTTTTAAAATAGGGAAGTTTATTTAAAAGCAAGAAACTTACACAATAAACTAGTAACGGTGGTTATCTCAGAAGAGGCGCATGGGGTGAGGTGAGGTGGCAGTGGAAGGGGATTTTTCTGTTCCGTGCTGTGTATACTTTTGCAATCTTTGCCTCCTTTGAAATGAGAATGTATTACATGTATACTTTTTCTTTCTGACTTAATGTGAACAATTAGTATATTATGGTTTTATGTCCTCTGCCTTTCAGCGCTGGAAAAAACTCGAACAGAACTATTTGACCTGAAAACCAAATATGATGAAGAAATTACCGCCAAGTAAGTCTCTGCCTGGCTCCCTCCATTGGCATTTGGTCAGGTGTCACCCGATTTTGCTAATCCATGAAAGATTTCCCTGCGTCACCCTCCTGTTTATTGACTTTGCAAAGCGGTACGGGGTTTCGAAGATGTTCGGCCTCTGAGCTGCTGTAAGGAACAGGGTGTCGTTCCCATGACTTGCTTGCATCAGTTTAAAACCCAAGATGTGACAGTAAGCTCTCTCTGGTGCTCTCAGAACAAGCCTTCCAACTGAAACTTCTTTCCTTAATTATTGTGAAGCCTGGCCACCACTGTGCCTTTGTCTAAGAAAGTTTGAAGAAGAGTCAGTGTAGAGAAGATGTGGTACTTGGGACATTTTGTGGAGCTTGGTCTGCGCCAGTAGCATCACCGTTTACCTGTGCCTTCACTCCCACACAGGTGTATTTGTTCAAATCCCACCTTATGGTGCTGGGCGTCCGAGTGCGGACACACCCAGAGGGGCGTGTATCTTTGGGCAGGTGTATCACACAAGGGTCTTGTGGGGAGGGAATCAGTGATGCCCTGCGGGTACGCCGTGGCTAGCCTACCCTCCGCGCAGAACACCAGGAAGCAAGAAATAACGTTGACGTAAATCAAGAAAGACAAAGGAGCAACAGCTCATCCCCTGACGACACCAGGCTAGAGTCCGAACAACTTCTTCCTGTCCCACCTCCCCCCAGAAGCCCATGCGTCCCCAACGCCCACCCCACCCCAGCCCTGACAGCTGTGTCTCCAGTGAGAAGCATCTCCTGCTGTGCTCACACCGGGCCTCTGGGCGCCGGCGAGTGGGGAGGTGGCTCTGAACAGCGTCGCCCTCCTCCCCGGCGCCTGCTCCGTGTGGGGCTCTGGTACTCCGCACCCCTCAGTCCCATCACCTTTGCCCTTGGCCTTTGAGGTCGCTGCTGGGCCAGCTGCTCTCAGGGCACGTTGAGGGGGCAGTAGGGCGGCCCTTGACCTTTGCTCTGGGTTGTTTAGCAGCTCGAGATCTTGAGAGCCCAGCTACCCAGGTCTGGTGGTCAGAACCAATTTTGATCATGAGCAGAGATCTTCTGCACAAAGACTAAAACATCCTGGTCCGTCTTGGCGACTCCGGCTGACTTGTTGGCATGTCTAATCCCGGGGGACCCCGCCAGATCACTGTCCCGTCTCGGTGTGCTGAAATGAGACTTCAGGTGGTACAGAAAGAGCCGGTTCTAAGGTCCCGTGACCGTTAACATTGCGCTTTGAAAACTGGTGGTTTGGGTATTAACGCTTCCGACCCCGGGCATCACTGTCAGTGGGCCGGCAGGCGCGCGTCTCTGCCCTCCCCTCTGAGCCCACAGCCTGAGAGTTCCTCACCTCCCAAGACGTACCCTCCGAGGCGCCACGCCAGCTGCTGTCACCCTGGGGTTCCTTGGTGTCCGTGTGCGGGTTCCCTCTTCTGCCCGCGTGTCATCCTTGTTTTTCTACTGTTTCCGCCTGGACTTTATTCTACTATGTAGGTTGTTTTTCTCAGTAAATTCGATTTTTTTTAATTATAGTGTTTTAGTCTGATACATAGCTCTAGCCTTAAGTTTATAGCATTTCTTTTCTAAAAGACTTTGATCTGAAGTTGCTGTGCTAGTTCCCTGATTCATTCACTCTTATCCACCTCATCTTACTTGCTGACAAAATTCATGATGACTTTGGGGGTGATAAATTGGATTATTTCATTAGTTTCTGTTAATTTATTTTTGTTAAACCACATCTCTTTCTGAAAGGCATAGATACATCTTGCATATCTACAGTCAACCAAAGTTGGCTCTATTATACACTTTAAAAAAACTTCTGTGAACGCAACCTCTAAGCCCGTCTAAGCCCATGGTTTTCAAACTGGGTCACAATCGCCAAGTCACTTTAGCGAGTGGCGACTGGCTAGTTGGGTAATAAATAGAATATAAAACAAAATAATGGAATAGAATAGAAAATGTCATGGCTCGTGGCACACAGTAAAGTTAGGCATTGTTTTGTGACCCTTTTAGCTCGTGTGTAAATCTGAAAGTACAGAGTTATTGAGCCACCGCATAAAATGTAGTTCTTCCTGTGCATCTCAGTCAAAAACCATTTTGAAAGCCTCTGCTCAGAGACTGTCACCAGAGCTCAACTTCCAGAAGCCAGTGTCTCCCGCCGTGTTCCCTGCGTGCGCGGGGTGGGGGGGGTACCTACCACCTGGTGACACCAAGCATCTGCAGAAACTATTGGGAGTTGACAGCCAGGAATGCCACCTGTCACATGATGGCTAAGTACTGGGCCCTGGCTGAGAGCCCCAACTTCTTCCTTCCTTCTTGGCCTTCCAAAAAGCCACACAGAAAATTTGTGTCCACGTAACTGGTGTGCCTTAGGGCTCGAGGCAGCAACGGCACCGAGAACAGCCGTCTAGGAAGGACTTAACCTTCCCCAGCTCACAGCTGTAGGTCTTCTCTAGAGAGGGCACGTGGCGGCCAGGAGTGCCTGGGAGACAGAGAGAGGGAGGAGGGGCCATCTTGTCCCTGTGCCCACCCTCTCCCTGCCTCCCTGTGCTCGGGGCCAGGGTGATGCTTGGGGATGATTCCCGCCTCTCAGCCAGCAAAGAGCTCAGTCACCTGCTCCCAGGTCATCCTGCTTCCTGGGAGGGGTCAGAGGTGCCTGGAGATGTCGGGCTGATTTTCAGTCTTCAGTCTTGTCCTAAGTTACCATCTATAGATGCAGGGACCCTGGGCTGTTTCTAAGCCGCCAGCTCTGTCATCTGACAGGTAAGATCATTAAATCTCGGGTCACCTGCGTCAGCAGGGCTACCCAGGGGAGCACCAGAGGCCGGGCCTCCTGCCCCCAGACCTCTCCTTGAACTCTGAGCCCGCCGGCCTTTGACGAGAAGCGGTGGTGGTGGACAGGGCTCGGGGAGAAATGTCTCTAGACTGTTTCCCGTCACATCAGCGTATCTTGAGTCCAGAAAGCTTCTTTTCCCTCCAAATCCAGATGAGTGAAAACCCACACGTTACTTGCTCATTTTCACTGAACTAGAGTAAACGGAGAATGGAATAAAAAAGCATGGGGGTCAGTTGTTCTGTCACGTAAAATGCTTTGCCTCTGGGCTGTGGCTCTTGTTACCAACTGCTGACGGGGCCATGGGTGCTCTCGGGGTGTGTCCCCTCCTGTGACCATAGCAGGAGGTCCTTGTCTCCACGGACAGGCGGGGAGGCAGAGGTGTGGCGTGCACGTGGGCGCAGAGAGAGAGCGAGCCTCATGGGCACACCTCAGAGCCACTCGTCAGCGGCGCTAGCATTCCTGGAGGCCTCCTCGGGGAGGCTCGGTGGAGGGGTGCGGGGGAGAAAAGCTGTTGTGAGCCAGCGTGACCCCTGCTGTGATGGAGGGGACGTTAGTTAGCGCAGCACCTGTGCCGTCAGGGTGTCCACAGAAGACAGCCCACTCTAGCTATGTCGGTCAGAAGAGAGTTTAACGTGGACACAGCGGGGACGAGGGAGACCAGCGGGGTCCGGGCACCCTGAGCGAGCACTGGCCGGGCCTCACCCCACCTCCGTTTGGAGGGGCCACCTGGAGAGGAGCTGTGACCTCTGGGAGGCGATGGGGATCCCGGCAGCGCCAGCAACCCCTGACCTTACCCTCCTCCCCTCCCCGGCCAGGGGAGGGGCAGGGGGAGAGGGAGCTGGCGCCGGGGATGGCGGGTCTCCAGTGCACACGACCCCACCCCGCTGGAGCCAAAGGAAGGGACTGGAGGAAGCCTTCCTGAAAGGGATGACCAGGGGTTTGAGGCGTTGCTAGAGGCAAAGGAGGAGCGCCCTCTGTGAAAACACCAGGCGGCGAGGCCGATCTCCTGGAGGACCAGCCCCAAGCTCCGGCGGGTGGACCTGCCAGGGCAGGTGGGCATGGTGGGCGCAGGGGCTGGACTGAGGCTCGGATGGGGATCGGCATTTCCCAAATAGATGGACGGCTACCACAGGGCAGCCTAGGGCCAAACCCTTACTGTAAATGGTTCCCAGAATAAGTAAGCCACAAAAAATGTAGAGAATGGCCTGAGATAATAATTGCTACTTTCTTTTAACTTCGGAGACAATCGCTTCGATCTTGGACATCCCACACGGAGCTGCCCCCTCCGCATTCCTCCCCGCTTTCATTTTCTGGGAAAGGTCTGTCACTTTACCATCTGCTTCCGGCCCGACTGACGTACACTGTCTTAGACTAGACAGCTTTTCATTAATACCTACGAATATAAGCCCCCCAGGGGCAAATCTCACAAATGGTCTTAAAACATTTCAAAACAGTGTTATCTTCTCCCTTCGAAAGGAGGGCTTTTAAAAAAATGTGTTGACAGAAAATGCAGGAAGGGGATGGGGGAGGCCCCGTGGAAGGTGGGCTTTGAGTGGATTGCCGGGGTCCGCTGCTCACCCTCTGTGTGTCCCTGGATAAGCTAATTGACCTCCGTGACTCTCTTTTCTCGCCTGTACAATGGGCATAATAGTAGTCAGGACGCCGGGTGGCTGTGGAGAGTAATGAGGAGGTGTGTGTGCAGCGCCCAGCACGGTGACAGCTGTGGTCACTGTCACTAATGGCTGTAAGCTATTCTATTGTCAACGAGTAGAAGCTGTTCCCAACGAGCTTGCCCTGGGCTCGGGTGCGTGCGTTTCTGAAATTAGACGGGCCTGAACGGCATCATCTCCACAGGAGGTTGGAAGAGCCCACGTCGCCTGTCCGTCCCTGGGAGATGTCACTGCGGTGACCATCCCCGCCCCCACTTGGGACCGAAGCCTGCAGGTCAAAGGCAGCGAGGCCGTCGGGAGCCCCCGTTGACTGGGTGCAGCCCTCAGCCTGCGTCAGCTGGACCGGCCCGGCTGGCTGTGGCGGGTACAGCAGCAGGAAAGTTTTCCATGTGTAGGCTTGAAGCGAAATGTAATTAGCCTTTATGTGCAGAACAAGGCCTCATTGATGAATACAGCTGGTCTTTGTTTTGTCCTGTCATTGAGAGTGGG